TGTGCGTGCGTGTGTGTGTGAGTGCATGCGTGGGTGCATGTGTGCGTGCGTGTGTGTGCGTGTGTGTGTGTGTGTGTGCGTGTGTGTGTGTGTGTGTGTGTGTGTGTGTTGTGTGTGTGTTTTGGAGTGCGTGCGTGTGTATACGCCATTCAACAAAACAAGATTTGTTACAAACAGAAAGCATCAACGGGCTTCCATCAACTTGCAGTGAGAAGGCATAATTTCTTCGCCTTTGCAGATGCGCCGAAGCCACGCATATTCTCTTGTTCTTTTCCCTAAATAGACCACACATCCACCCGCACAAAACGTTTCTTCTAACTAAAGACAGAAGATATTATATGCTACAGACACATGAAACCCAGGGCATTAACTCTGCAGAATAAGCGCACCATAAAAATAAGACAAACTGACCTTTCGTCTGAAATAGTCGGGTTTCTATTTCCAACATGCCGCCCACACCTTTATTTGACACACTGAACGACTTACCTAACGCGCAATACAAATTTTAATATATGTGAGGCAGCGTGGTGGAATCAGGCTCTCGTCAAAATAATCAAAGTGAAGAAACTTGCATTTTCCCGCAGGTTAGTGAATTTTTATCAAATTTTTGTTTTTCGGCTCAACACCTTTCACGCCCATTAAAGAACTCATTTCTGAGTGGATTTTTCTGAAAAACGTTGATTAAAGGCACAAAAAATGTTAATTTTCAGTTATCACAGACTCTTAAGTTAAGGAAATAACTACTCTTTGGCGGCCATGTTCTCACTAATTCTACCTCTGAAAACATGTTATCCCCACCTCCTTCTTTCGCTAATATCTCGACTTGTATTCAAGATAAATGGATATTTTTTTCATCCAAATAAACACAAGTGAACAAGCTTTAAGATGATACCAATAACTCTATATGCCCAAAAATTTACGAGAGCCTGATTCCACCACGCTGCCTCACTTATACTCTCTGTCTCTACAACGCTGCTATACATTTCGACTGATTTTGTATTATTATTGTTAATGGGTTCCTTTCTGCTTCTTTTCTTTTGGGTTGTCTCTATTATTTCTAAATTTAACTTCGCTTTTAGTGCCTTGATTTCTTTCTTTGAACTGGCAGTTACTCAAGACGACCACATTATAACCTTTTTCAGTATTGATCGGTTCGTTTTAATGATGTATGCGGATTTCTTTCTGTTTAATTTTTTTTCAATGTTTTTTTCTCCATTTTTTCAAAACTCTTTTTTTCCTGGTAAGATTGAGTGTTGATTTTTTAGAGAGGGGAGGAGGTGGGTGCTCTATTTAGAATAATATATATTATTTTGTTAAAAACGACGTATTTTGAAGGTAAGCTAAAGCTAGGTAATTGGAGCGCCTCTTTAGGATAATGAGTGGGTGGCTTTGGGGGAGCAGGAGTAAGGTGAGGTGGACTAATTAGGCTTTTCACAGTGGTGCACGTTAGGTCAATAAATAACTCGGTCAACGAGCGGAGATTTGAGCTTCGAATCCAAGGAGGATCCAATTTTCTTCTGTTCCTTTTTGGGATGCCTTTTCCTTTAAGTCCGGACCAAGGAGGATTCTGGTTTTTGTTGTTTGTTTTTTTCAAAGGGTTTTACGGCGCTCGCAACTGTATGACGTCATAAGAGCACGCTGGACACATTTAACATTCTCAGTTGGTCGGAAATTTTGATTTTTTTACGGATGGCGGCGCAAGCCTACTCTTATTGATTTTAGACAACCAAGGGATCTTCACGTACGCAAATTGCACATGGGAACTCAGAGATTTTTCGCCCTTGTCCGAGAAGGCTAGGTGTTGTTCTTTCCAACCATAAGATCAGAGGTGTTGATGAAAGACAATAGTAAGAATGAGGAGCCAGGGAGTAGCAGTAGAAAGGCTGCAGAAAGAGATAGGAGCCCAGAGGAGGGGACAAAGGAGGTGAGGGGGTGGGGCAGAAAGTGGAGACGAAAGCAGACGACAGAACTGTGCTTGAGAGCAGGAAAGGAGGTGAAAGAGGACAATTTGGAGAAGAAAAATGTCCGTCGGTATTCGCATTCGAACTTGTCACACACACACACACACACACACACACACACACACACACACACACACACACAGCAAACAGCAGCAGAATCTCTAAACTCTAGATTAGAGTTAATTTAGTAGACAAAGTGAAAGTAACCCCCAGACCCGTTTACTTCTAGATTCTAAATGGCTGCTAATTTGAAAGAAACCATTTGGCAAACACTAAAACAATGTGTACTTACTCGTGTATTTGACATTGAGTCTCAAAGGTGAAAAAACTCTAAAGACGAAAAGATCACAGTCAAAGTCAACCACCTCAACCGGTTCAAAGATTGCAGCTGACTGTGCAACCGATTCAGCTATTGCTAATAAATAACGTAAAAATTTCAACCAATCCGGCCCTCTCGAATAACTCCAGCGGGTTAGCCTCGTCATGTGACATACTCGTAATCTTCTATAAATAGATGTGAATTTTAACATCAGTTACTAACAATAGATTTGTCATTCCAGGATCATTCTTCTAAAAATTACTATTTTACTTCTACTGAATTCCAATTTTGATCTCCTGGACCCTGGACACCATTTTGGGAAAGTACACCTTTACAAATCGACAAAGCTAGATTGTGGAATGGTATTAAATCAATTAATAAATTATTGAAGTAGGCCAAGGAATTTATCTCCTTGGAGCCGACCAACCACGTGCATGCCTTCCCAACATCTATCCCATTGACGTCATAATAAAAAGGCTGGTGTTAGGGACGCGTACGCGTTAATAACACTGGACTGTTCGGGACGCGTACGCGTCAATAACACTGGACTGTTCGGGAAGCGTATGCGCTTCAATACTCTTCCACAGCACTATTTAAAAAATATATATATATTGTAGAGGGTTCTACGGCGCTCGCAACTGCATGTTCCACAGAACTACGAAATTATTGATCCGTGTTTTTGTGACTTCGACACTCGTCGACAGTAGGGCGAAAGATGTTTCAATTGTCCCTTGGAGAGAGAGAGCGAGAGAGAGAGAGAATGGGGTAAAAACAGAGAGAGAGA